AGCAATGTAATTACCACGATCAAGGTCCAGAAACGTAGCAAGGAGATCAGTAAAATAATCCATGTGACATCAGGGGTTCAACCGTCATTTTACGAAGCTACGAGAATACTTTTTGTACGCAAAGAAAACTAAAATAACGGCTTTATTCATTCTTTATTATTATTATTCAGAATAATGCGTGACGCAGCTGACAAAGAATAGCATACATACGCTGTTTGCGTTCAGTGGATATTCTCCAAAATAGCACCAGGGTGATGTGGAGGAGACGAATAGTTGAATAAAGTCGTTATTTTTGTTTTCTTTGCGTACAAAAAGTATTCTCGTAGCTTCGTAAAATGACGGTTGAACCCCTGATGTCACATGGATTATTCTCCTTGCTACGTTTCTGGACCTTGATCGTGGTAGTTACATTGCTGTCTATAGGAGGGTCAGAGAGCTCTCAGAATTCGTCAAAAATATCTTAATTTGTGTTCCGAAGACAAACGGAGGTCTTACGGGTTTAGAACGGCATGAGGGTGAGTAATTAATGACAGAATTTTTGGGTGAACTAACCCTTTCAGAGGCGAGATGAAAAGAAAATACCATGTAAACTTTTCTAAAGACAGTCTGTTCCCCTCAGAGATACATTCATATAAACTCCTACTCCAATTGTATCGCGATTAGTTTGGCATCTCAACCGATTTGAATCGTCACATATTTTAATCGATTTTCGACCGGCTCGCGGTTAATCGTTACATCCCTAGTATAGACTATAGAAATGTCAAAATCACATAATCATCATACCTTAACCATGTCATCACGGGCTTTGAGTACCTTCAGTCTGGCCTGGTTCATCAAATTCGACATTTGGCTGTGGATTTGAACAGAGACGTTATTAAATAATCTGAAGAAGGACACGGGTTACTCATTTAAAGAACTCAAACTCACATTTTCTTCTGTTGTTCAATCTGTTTCTCTTTCTTCTCATAGTACTCCATTATTTTCAACCTCTGAGTCTGTACCAGTCGTCCCTTTTCGATATTAAACTCTTCTTCTGCCTGCAAGCCGCAATACACATGATGACCTAAAAATGCTCTAGACAAATTCAGACCATATTCATGCACTTATGCTAATCATTGCATTTATACTTTACCTTTGCATCAATTTCTTCTGCCTTCTCATTGGCTTCCTGTTCAATAAAGGCCATCATGTGTTTGATCTGGAGAGATGCAAGGAGATCAGTGTCAATAAAAGAGCAAAACAAGGTTAAATTACAATGTAAGAGTTTCCAAGCCCCTCTGATCCTTTATTTAGATGATGTAATGAAATAAAAGTGGATGAGAGAAACTGATGTGGAAATGAGACTGAAAGTGTTGCATCAGTGCTGTTGGGAAATTTCATGGATGTGTGCTGGACAACTGAAAGAAAAGAGATTTCCTCTTTTGGCTTCATAATACCCAGCGTTAAACACTCACAGAATATTAATTCATACAAAATCTAGCTGCATTTGTACTCCTCAAAGTGAATGGACTATAAAGAGATGTCTAGCTAGGAGTAGAAGATAATAAATAATAATAAAATAATAATGCATTTTATTTATATACGCCTTTCAGAACACTTAAGGACACCTTGCAAACAATATATCAATTCATAATAAATAAACAACATCAATTTAGATTTATTAAAACATAATCCTATTATTAAAGCTGAGTTTTAAAACGTGATTTAAAAGAAATTAGACAATTACTTTCACATATTTAAAAAATTCTTTACAATTATCTGAATATCAGTTCCAATTATGCCAAAATAATGACACTTTGTTTTCATCAGTTATTAGTTTATTAAATTACATTTAAATACAGTATAAAATTTGTATCCTAAACGTAAATCATCAGATTTGTGCCTGTAATGTTTCGTTTTAAAAGTAATGGGACTTCTAAAGTGCACCGTATGCGTGTAATAAGCCTTATAACAGACATGTCTATACTTAAGCTACCTGATCTGAAACATAATGGTTAATTAAATCAATTCTAAACTTAGTTTATGAACTTCTGGTTTTCTTACCTGTTTCTGAACGGCGGCATCGCTGAGCGCCATGGCTGGTGTTTTTAAGGCACTGACTGCGATCTGAAGAGAGATTTATCACAATAAAGATTTAATACTAACTTTAGAATTACTCAACTAAACTATCCACTACTTTAATAACTGTATTACTCAAAACTGCAGGACGAAACTACAGTTCCGCCTAGCGTCAGCTGACAAGGATGAATGCGTCACGTGATTTAATGCGTCACAGCCAAGTTAAGGCTCCGCCCACTTGTCAATTTTTCAGGTTTCTGAACCTCTGAACTGACTTCAAATAGAATCTAAAATGACTTGCTGCGTGCACTTGGTCATTTCTTCCTGATAAAGTTATTATGTGAACAACTGTTAGAAAATATATTTAATCCTATTAAACGTCCAAGACTAAATATTATGATAAAAGGTGATTTTTTAAATGGGAAACCCTGTTGAGCCACATGCTGTCTCATAGTAGGCCTACCCTACTTTTTTCTAAAGACATATACTTGTGTATGAGTTCTTACAAGTAGCATTTGATTGAAAGTGTTAGCACATTTAAAGTATTGATTAAAATCTAATTAATGCTAAATATATTTAAGTTAGAGACTATGTAAATTAGTGACTAAGAATTGGTGTTGGAGCAAAAGTTTAATGATACCAAGATAATTTCTCCTTTTCACCCAGCCTCAGCATGAGCTGCTCTGAAGACTCTGTGTATCTTGCATTATACAGACTATAAAGTAGATTTTATGTGAGCTGAAACTTTTCCCTTGTTGGAGTCACTGAGAAACAGAGAGCAATGCACACCTGGTACGGATACACATACAGAAGTTGGCTGCATCAGGTGACAAAAGTCATATTAACCTGCATCAGCACTATTAATGAGAACTCAACATATGTCTGTGAGTGCGTAAGAGCGGCTCTCCGTGAAAGAGATGTACAGCAGAGATCATTCCGAGAACAGGAAAACATGAGAGTCTATCTAGCAGTCTTTACGCTCCTGGCTGCAGTTCACGGAGCTCTTTAATGGGTAAGTTCAGATACCTTCTTTTATGACTTATTGCCATACCAGCCTTGTTTCATGTTCAAAAAGTCTAATTGTCTTTTTTTTAATAGAGACCAAGTTCTCAGAATCAATGCAGAATCTGAAGACCACATTCAGATTTTGAAGGAGCTGGAAAGGGACGTGGATTCTGGGGTATCTGTTAAATCCCTGCTGACATACTTTAACTTTCATGTGATCACATATGTGCTATATTAGGGTGACCATACGTGCCATTTTCCCAGGACATGTCCTGGCCAGGATTTGTTTTGGCTTTGTTTTCATGCTTGCTGAAGGTAATGATCGAAAAGTAGTTTGACCAATAACATGCAAGCATTGTACATAATGGACCAATCATGGCGTGTGAGAAGGTGGGATCTACGGTCAAAGCGATGCAATTACGCGTGCATATTAGGTGTGTTCGACTTAAACGCAGTGCTGCTCAGACCAATCAGTGTTTGACATCAAAGTACCTCGAGAGCATTTCGAAAGCATAACCATCTGTATGGTACTTTGATGTCATGCACCGATCGATCTGCACACGCAAACAAAGCCAAAACCTAGATATTTTAGGCAATATAGAAATCCTGGTCAGGACGCGTCCTGGGAAAATGGCACGTATGGTCACCCTATGCAATATGGTAATCTCTCACTTTAGGGGAAGTCGTTGCGTAATGGTTAGAGAGTCAGACTCGTAACCCAAAGGTTGCGGGTTCGAGTCTCGTACCGGCAGGGATTGTAGGTGGGGGGAGTGAATGTACAGCGCTCTCTCCCACCTTGAGCAAGGCACCGAACCCCAAACTGCTCCCCGGGCGCCTCAGCATAAATGGCTGCCCACTGTTCCGGGTGTGTGTACACGGTGTGTGTGTGTGTGTGTGTTCACTGCTGTGTGTGTGCACTTTGGATGGGATAAATGCAGAGCACTAATTCCAAGTATGGGTCACCATACTTGGCCACATGTCACTTCACTCACTCACTTTATATATATTATGTGATTCCATAGCTGGATTTCTCTAATGAATGACCTGTTGACATTCGTGTGCCTCACACCAGTCTGTCTGCTGTCAAAGACTTCGTCAAGAAAAACAACGTCCCTTTCACTGTCATGATCAACAATGTGCAGGTGAGTTAAATACAAAAATCTTCTCTCCCACCTTGAGCAAGGCACCGAACCCCAAACTGCTCCCCGGGCACCTCAGCATAAATGGCTGCCCACTGTTCCGGGTGTGTGTGTGTGTGTGTGTGTGTTCACTGCTGTGTGTGTGCACTTTGGATGGGATAAATGCAGAGCACTAATTCCAAGTATGGGTCACCATACTTGGCCACATGTCACTTCACTCACTCACTTTATATATATTATGTGATTCCATAGCTGGATTTCTCTAATGAATGACCTGTTGACATTCGTGTGCCTCACACCAGTCTGTCTGCTGTCAAAGACTTCGTCAAGAAAAACAACGTCCCTTTCACTGTCATGATCAACAATGTGCAGGTGAGTTAAATACAAAAATCTATATACAAAATAACATTATTAGCCTTTGCATAATTTGTAGAAGAAGATCAGCCATTGATTATAATCCTATAAATTCCAATAGCTGTGATTTTTCAGTAAAGTAATAGTAATACACAACCTTTTCTGTGTCTCAGGAGCTTTTGGTCAGAGAGAGAGAAGAAATGGTTCACAATGCAGAAATGGAACGCAAGTCCAAAAGCTTCAATTTTGCTGCTTATCATGACCTGGAGATGGTAAGTACATGTACTGACTTTTGCAAAATGCCATGCACAACCATTCTTATAACCTTAACAAAACGTCAGATTTTTTTATTACTTCTTTCAGATTTACAATTTTATAGACACCCTTTGTTGCAAGTTACTCTAACCTGATCTCTCAAGTGAAGATTGGCAGCACTTATGAGAACCGTCCCATGTATGTCTTGAAGGTAAACAGATCATATTATTATAAACTAAGCTTACTGACTGATATCTATGTACCACTATCTGATTTTTTGTATATTTAAAATGCATCCAGTTCAGCACTGGTGGAGAGAAAAAAACCTGGATTGAAGCTGGGAGTGGATTTCTCACACTACTGCAGTGTGGCTTGCTGACAGGGTGAGTGAGATTGTTGAAAAATGATAGTGTATATAAGTGTTTGTTTGAGTCTGTTTGTCATAGTATATCAGAGCTATTTTCTAGTTTCGTTAAACTGTTGCAGTAAATATAAGAATGTAAGACTATATTGTTCTTTTCTGATGAAATCTACCAGCACATTTAATGTTTGTAGTTCACTTGCCATTGCACATGAGCAACATTTATTATTTTTAGCAAGATTTTATTTATTTATTTTTTACTTGTATGTGCAGTAGCAAGATTTTTTATTTATTTAAATAAATGATTATCTTTTTTATTTTTTTAAAGATATTTTTAGCAAGATCTTTTATTTTATTATATCTATTTATTTAATGTGATTTCATAATTTTTTTAATTTTATTATTATTTTTTAATATGTATTTTATTTTATGCAAAGGGCAGCAGCAATGAACTCTGAAACTAGTTTATAGTAGCATTCATATGTCTTAGCTTGACTTCAACATAAACAAAACATGACTGTTTAGTGTTTGAAAATTGGCCCAATGTGCTGACAAAAAATGTACAGACTAACAAGTTGCTAAAATAGTCTAAAGAAAATGACAGATTCAGCCAAATCTGAAAGAATAAAAGTTCACACAACATAAAGCCATGCTTCTGAAATGCTTCTGTTTTTGGCTCTATAGATTGCCACAGACTTTAAGAAAAACTGTGCCCCTGTGCCCAGTATCCTTAGTCAAATGGATATTTACTTGATGATTGTGGCCAATCCTGATGGATATGTCTTCACTCACCGCTCTCTCAGTGTAAGCAGCCATTCACTGGTTTCCATAATGCACAAATAAATGTTTAGAAGCATTTTATAAGCTTTTATAACTGCATGTATTGTAAATTAACATTACTAGTTCACATTACCTCAGCCGCTTTAGCAACTAGCTACCCATTAACTGTCTTGATGCTTTAAGCACAGTTTAAACATGCAATAAAATGTCTGTGATATATTTGTGATGTCTAAATCTACAATAGACTAACAATATATCCAGTAGGCCTACTTATGTTTTGTTGATGCACCATCTGATAAATAATAACAAAATATAATTTTTTTTAAACTATCCTTTTAATGGAAAGCAATTAGCAACTGAATTGTTGCTAGCATTGTTTGAAAATGAAATGAAACATACATACATAAAAGTAAAAATAACACTTTTAAGACCCAAGCATTTTGTTTTGACTTCCTTTGAGGGTGTTCAAATGTTAATACCTCTCATAATTAATGATAGTTTTGTTTCCACCATACTCTCCAATTCTGAACCCAGTTGAGCAGTTCTTCTCCTCCTGGAGATGAAAGGTTTTTGACCATAACACAGGGACAAACTATATAAGGAAGAAGCTTACAAATCTGATGTATTGTCACACATCAAATCTGGTGTATACTGTACTTTATTCTGCAACAAAGTGCAAGGTCAAAGCCTGAGCATCTGTGGTTCTTGCAATACTTTAAGACACAGCATGATTTTTGCAAATCCAGCAACTATTTTTTTCTCTCAAATCCACTCATGTAACAGCCTGCTAACTTGTGAACAAACTTAAAGGCATAGTTCAGGTAAAAAATGAACATTTTGTCATCATTTACTCACCCTCAAGTTGTTCCTAACCTGTATGAATTTCTTACTTCTGTTGAACACAAAAGAAGATATTCTGAAAAATGTTAGTAACCAAACAGTTGCTGGTAGACATTGACTTCCATAGTAATTTGTTCCATACTATGGAAGTCAGTGGAAGTTAAACTCATTTTGGAACAACTTGAGGGTGAGTAAATGATGACAACATTTTTCATTTTTGGGTGAACAATCTCTTTAAACTTTGTCAACTTTTGAATTGTTTCCCACCTAATTTTAGAAGCCCTGAGAAATTTTCAGCAGTGTTCACCTGGAAAAGATACACACTGGTTGCTTAATAGTCAGCACTGTGTCAGCACTGATATTACTGAGAACTCAACATATGTCTCTTAGCATATAAGAGTGGCTCTCCATGAAAGAGACAAACAGTAGAGATCATTACCAGAACAGGAGAACATGAGAGTCTGTCTAGCAGTCTTTGCGCTCCTGGCTGCAGTTCACTGCGAGGAGCTCTTTAATGGGTAAGTTCAGATATTTACCTATATCTGATATTTATCTTTTATGACTTATTGCCATACTAGCCTTGTTTCTTGTTCAAAATGTCTTGTTTCTTGTTCAAAAATGGCTTGTTTCATTTTTTGTTGTTGTTGTTGTTGTTGTTGTTTTGGTAGAGCCCAGGTTCTCAGAATCCATGTAGAATCTGAAGACCACATTCAAGCTTTGAAAGAGCTGGAAGAGGACGTGGATTCTGTGGTATGACAGTTTTATATCCGCTGACACATTTCAGTTTTCACTTGAATACCTACAATTTTAATTGCATATATATATGCAATCCTGTAGCTGGATTTCTGGAGTCATGGCTTCTCAACTGAACGGCCTATTGACATCCGTGTGCCTCACACCAATCTGTCTGCTGTCAAGGACTTCCTCAAGAAAAACAACGTCCCTTTCACTGTCATGATCAACAATGTGCAGGTTTGTAAAATACAGATCAAAAACATGAACTGAAATGATAAGCCTGTGCAGAATGTATCAATCAAATCAATATCACTAGAAATTTCATGGTAAAACTGTTTAGAAATGTCATTTTGTCCCAGAATGGAAGCTGTTAACACCGTTCCCACCAACATTGATATCTATAATGATTTTTTTTAAAAAATGTAAATCGTTCCGTACCAAAATTCCATACCACAACTATAACGATAATGGCACAGAGGAACGATATCATTGTAATCACTTTCACAGTGAATCCACTTGACTTTAAAGAGCTTTAGCGTTTAAAGTGACAGACAACAAAACTGCAGTGCCCGGTTATAATAAATGGAACATTGTTGTACGTTGTTGTCTGCGCTAATATACTTATTGTTATAGCTATCATTCTTGGTGTGAAGGAGCCTTTATGCTTGTTTTCCCCCTGTACAGAACATTTACCGCAAATAAAACTGTAACATACAAGATTTTTCTGTGTCTCAGGAACTTTTGGAAAGGGAGAAAGCAGAGATGGTTAGTAATGCAAAGATGGAACGCAGCACCAAGAGTTTCAACTTTGCTGCTTATCATGACCTGGAGACTGTAAGTATGTGGACTAGAAAACCATGTGCATGATGTAAGAATTATGATATGCTTTTCTAACATGAACAAATGTCTGAATATTTTATTCACTTCAGCTTTACAGTTTTATGGACACGCTTGTTGCAAGTCACCCTAACCTGATCACTAAAGTGCACATCGGCAACTCCTATGAGAACCGTCCAATGTATGCCCTGAAGGTAAAGTCTGATACAGTACAGATTATATGATTGTGAACACGGATTTATTTTTGAATCTATTTGCACTGATTCCAGTTCAGCACTGGTGGTGTGAGTCGACCAGCGATCTGGGTTGATGCTGGAATCCACTCCAGGGAGTGGGTTACTCAGGCTTCTGCTGCATGGATCGCCAACCAGGTAAGATGAATGAAAAATGTCTACGTAACAAAAGAAAAAGTAAATTTGTAAAATAATCGTCTATTTTGCATTAGATTGCTTCAAACTATGGCGTTGATCCCTCCGTGACCTCTCTCCTGGGTCAAATGGATATTTACTTGATGATTGTGACCAACCCTGATGGATATGTTTTCACTCACACAAATGTAAGTCACCTGCTGTTGAACTAACTTGCTGAAGGCGCTTTTTATTTATTTTTGGGGATTAGCACTGAGAGCACTAAAATAGATGTCCAGACTCCTGAGTACTCACACCTGTCTTTGTGACAGCCCTAGACTCTCAATGTCTCTCGTATCAATACTAGCCAATAAAAAATACTCATAGCTCGCAAAATGGTCAAAAATTTTGTGGAGTCTTAGGTTGAGCAGGTTTTTAAAAATGTTTTATTACAGTGACCCCTTTGCAGTGTTATTTTAGTATTATTTACATACTATTATCATTATTAAGAATTTGAATTGCTGTTTATTTTTAGATTCTTCAGTTTTCATTTTAATTTTACTTTTAGTATTTATTTTATGTGCATTTGTGATTTTATTACTTTTATTTTTTAATAAATATTACTATGTAGTTTTATTTTATTTTATTTTTTGTTTCCATTTTATTTTAATTTTTTAATTGTTTTCGGTTAGTACTTTTAAAACTTCTATTTAAATTAGATGCCAAGGCAACATTTTGTTTTTTCTTAATTTCTAATTTCATATTTTTATATTTTAGTTGATTTCAGCTTAAATTTCATTTAACATATAATATTTTAATAGCTTTACTAAATGATTTATACTATGCTTTAAAAAAACGTAAGTGATATGACAAAATTAATGGCTAACTTAAATGATTGCAATTTATATTGTCATTGTACTAATGCCAAAATAATTAATGTTAGTATTAATTAAAAATATATATTGTTCGAAATAAATAAATATAATTTATATTTTTTATACCCAATAGAGTACTAGTAGATGTATAAACCTGAAAATAAACATTAAATGAATATTTATTTACAAGGTTTAAATACTTTAGTAAAAAGTAGGTGGGTATCAAAAAATAAAACAAATTCTGGGCTCTTTACATGCTAATTTCTATGACCTTTCACACAATAATTACAGAATTATTGTTCCAAAAATCACTTAATGTAGTGGTCAAAAACATAAAGCAAATCTGCATCAAATGTTCTGTACTTATTGTAAAATCTGATGAGCTATTATCTTTCAGTATGTAGCTTTGAGGAGTTTAATACATTTTATGTAACAACTTTGGATTGAATATGACATGTTGACTAATGACATTTGTGCCTCTACATTCAGAACCGTATGTGGCGTAAAACTCGCTCAGTGAACTCTGGCTCCTCCTGCCGTGGCGTTGATCCCAACAGGAATTGGGATGCTGGTTTTGGTGGTATGTAGATATCATTGTTCTCTCTTGTTGCAATAGTGCACCATTTTTTCCCATATAACTGTAGACATGTTCTTCCAGGTCCTGGAGCCAGCAAGGACCCCTGTTCTGAGTCCTACCACGGGCCCTATGCCAACTCTGAGGTCGAAGTGAAAAATGTTGTGGACCTCATCATGGGCCATGGCAATTTCAAATCCTTCATATCCATCCACTCTTACTCCCAACTCTTAATGTATCCCTATGGTTACACATGCACAGACATTCCTGACAAGTCTGAGCTTGTAAGTCAATTTATATATATCCATTTAAATTATTTATACTCTGGTTTGTCTTATATAATCACATTTTCAGATGTATTTCTTATTCTTATTTTTTTTTCTTATTAATATTTTGTATTGTTGTTTTCATTTATTGTAGCATTCTGTTGGCACAGCTGCGATCAAAGAACTCACTTCCCTCTATAACACCATATACCAAGTCGGAAGCATCTGCAAGATTATCTGTTAGTAGACTGCATACTCTGTTTGAGTACCGAGATATGGCTTCTGACTGTTTTCTGATCGTGAATATTGGCCTGTTATATTTCAGACCAAGCAAGTGGTGGAAGCATCGATTGGACCTACAATATTGGCATCAAATATTCCTTTGCCTTTGAGTTGCGAGACACCGGCTACTATGGTTTCCTGCTGCCTGCCAACCAGATCATCCCA